AAACGTTCTATGATGAGGAGAACCTTCCTCGTGTAGTGGCCTTCGACTGTGTACGAGATGACGAGGCGAATGAATTCTGCGGTAAGCAAGGAGTGAATAATTATCCCACTGTCTTCACATATCTCAAAGGGGAGAGGTATGGCAATCCAGGGCCGCTGGTGGACTATATTAGGATGATGCTGGAGAAGACCCCGGTACTTACGACAACTAAGCCGTTGCCGTCTACTACCACTACTACTAGCTCAGCGCACACGACAACATCCATTCCTTCGACAAGCACTCGTGTTAGTAGTACTACAACAGTTCCCACAGCTATTAGTACTACAACGATTTCTACTAGTACTGGTATCACAACGATGGCTACTAGTACTACAGCGATGGCTACTACTACTAGTACGACTACTCCCACTGGTGGGAGTCTTTTCCCCGATGATGCCAACGTTACGTACGAGATGCGTATACTAGATGGTATACTTGCATTTGCGTACGCTCTGCATACGGCCACGTTCTTCCCTGCTAACACCACCCTCATCGTGGAAAAGCTGAGAATACTGAAGGAAAATCTTTTACCAGTCATTGTGTCCGTTCATCCCGACAAGGAATTCCGTAAGGACGTCAGTGGTCTTCTCGGCAATATTAGCAAAAGTTCTGGCGCTATTACTAAGGATCAATGGATGGCTATGCTTGATGGAATCGCCCCCAGGCGTATGAGGCAGCAGCCTGATGCTTTCTGGAAACACTGCAAGAACTTCAACTGTGGTTTGTGGCAGTTTTTCCATGCGCTCACCTTGGGAGTTGACATGAAGTTTTCGGCGACTACTGCGAAGGATTCTAATGGGGAAAAGGTCATGGAGACGATCAAGTCCTTCGTCACATATTTTTTCATGTGCCACAGCTGCGCACAGCACTTCATTAAAGGGTATGATAACTGTGTTGGTGAAAGGTGCACTATGCCCAACCCTGATAGAAGGCATACAGCACTGTGGCTATGGCGCGTCCATAATATGGTAATACAGACTTCACACGAGAGGGGTATCACTGG